CTGGCAAAGATGGTTTGGAGTGAATGATGGTGAAAGTTTTTCTTTTCGGGTCACCCCTGCCTTGTTGGGAACGGCAGTGTGATAATAAAAAAAATATGATAACGTTATAGAAGAGCAATGTGGTAGATGTTCCAAGTATATAGAATATGGAGGTAAGTTACTAAATGCTGTTAAGAGTTTTTATGAGGATAGTGAGGCTCAGGATAGGGTGTGTAGAAGAGAGAGAATACTTCCCCAGTAAAAGTATCTTAGACAGGATGTTTAATGTCACCAATGGTTGTTTAATATATTTATAGATGGGGTTGTAAAAAGAAGTAAATGCTAAGGTGTTCGGGAGAGGGGTGGGATTAAATTATGGGGACTCAAATTCAAAATGGGAATGTGACACAGGGTTTACTTTTTGCCTGATGAAACTGTGCAGTATGGAAGATTCTAAAGAAAAATTGCAAAGGTTAGTGGATGAGTTTTGGGAATGTGTTAAAGGTAGAAAATTGAAAGTGAACATAGAAAAGAGTAAGGTGGAAGAGGGTGTCAAATCATTTAGATAAAGAAAAATTGGTATATCAAATTGGAGGAGTAGTATGAAAGAGTGAATGTTTTCAGATACTTTGAGAGTTGACGTGTCGCGATGGAATTTATGAAGGATGAGTTAATCATAGAATTGATGAGGGATAAAAAGGTGATTGGTGCATTGAGGTATATGTGGAGTCAAAAAACGTTATCTATGGAGGCAAAGAAGAGGAATTAATGAAAATTACAGTAGTGGTACCCTACCACTCTTTATATGGATGTGAGGGTTGGTGTAAATGCAGCAGCGAGGAGAACGGTTGAGCGTGGAGATGTCCTGTCCTAAGGGGAATGTGTGGTGGTAAATATTATGGCATATATAAAAAATAGCGGAGTGTGGGAAATTAGGAGAAGATGAGTTAATTAAAAGCATTAGTCAGAGGGCAAAGAAGAGGGGTTGTTTGAGGTGTTGGTCATTTAGAGAATGGATCAAAGTAGATGACATGGAAAGCATATAAATCTAAGGAAGGAAGGAGGTAGGGTCTCCTCGAAGGGTTGGACAGATGGGGTAAAGGAGTTTTGTGGCGAGGGGCTTGACTTCCGTTCCCAGCAAGCGTGCGTGAGCGTGTTTTGATAGGAGGTGAATGGATACGAATGATACTTGGAACCTGTGATCCTTTGGGAGTGTGAGCAGGGTAAAATTAAGTGAAGGGATCAGGTAAACCGGTATTTTCATAGTCAGACTCGAGTCTGGAATGGGAAGTTACAATGCCTGCACTTTAAACGAGGTGTTTGGGATATTGGCAGTTTGGAGGAATATGTTGTGTACTTTATTACGTATATCTTCTAAATCTGTTGTATTCTGAGCACCCTCTGCAAAAAACAGTGTAATGTGAGAGTGTGGTTGAAAGTGTTTAATGATGATGGAAGTATTTTCTTTTGGGTGGGGCGGGAGGGGGTTGGTCACCCTGCCGTCGGTGGGAGAACGGCCGACTTGTTGAAAAAAAAAAAAAAAAAAATTATTTTTACAGCAGTGTACTGTATATTGTTATAAAACAGAATAAAAAAAATCAGCTCTAATATACATTAATTTAGGTATGCATACTGGTCAGAGACCCATTGTTTTAAAGTCTGAATCGTCAGTAAAGGAGTACGTTGCTACAGGGCGTACGCTGTATTCGCTGGAATGACAAACCCTAGCAATTTCTACACGTTGCGGTGTAGGATCACCTTTCGAACTTGTAAACTGTCCCACAATACAAACCTGAGGACAGAAGCTCACGGCAGTCAAAGTTAAGCAAGCTACAATTGCAAGGTAAGAGTCTTCCGCCTGCAGCCAGGTAGGAAAATAAGTGCCGTACTTTGAGACTGGGAAGTTTTGAAGCTCAGCTGTTTCCAGAATGCCATCACTACATGTCTGGAAATTACATTGGACAATTGTACGAGGTAGAACGACAGTACCACTACAAGAATTGAGAAAGTTTTTCAATTGTTACAGGAATATCATCTATGGTTGAAAGGAGAGAGAGATCGCAAGCCTGGCTAGCATTCTGTACTGAGTGTGCGCACTGCTTGAGGCATGAAAGGGTATGTCCTGACCAACATGGCATAGGAGCACCTTGCTAATACTACTATGATCGTAAAGATAGTCAGTAGAAAAAGTCTGTCGCAAAGTAAAGAAACTTAGTCCATTGTGTATTTTGGAAACAGTGTAAGGGTAGTGTTGTGCCAGTCTTTTCTAGGCAGAGTGAGAAGTAACCGAAAGGGTATCATCTGTTAATGGTCTTGGGTGTTTAGGTATGGGACCAGAGTTGGTCCAACATGGAACGGGCAGGCAATCAAAATCACTGCACTGTAGAGGGAGAAGCCGGAAGTATGGTCAAAGTGCAGAGGTGGGACATATCAAAAAGTCGGGTGGAACCTCAGTACCCGGAGCAGGTGACTAAACAGCACCAGCAGAAGGTACAGAGGCATTAGAAAGGTTCGAAGAATGGTCAAACAATGAAGTAGGGTCAAAACAAGGTGTGGTAGCAGAAAGGGGCACGAGAAGAGCTGTTTCATGGATTTGGGACTCCATGGTTATGTCACTTTTTTTTTTTTTTTTTTTTAGAAAAAATTAAAAAGAAGAATAAAAAAAAGGGGGGGATATGGAGGGATAGCTCCTAGGAGGAATGAAAGGGCCGTAAATCCCCCTCCGTACCCAAGATGACCCCAGCACTGCAAGTTGTGCAGATGTGGCATGAATCCCATGCTATACCCCACCCTTCATGCCAGTAAACCAGCAATCCGGGATAGCAACCTCATATCTACTGAGCCACCTTGGTGGACAAAGAGAGGGGTGGCCGGATACCTGCCACAAAGCATACCTCCTTTGGCCACCATCCCCTGGAATCTGAAAGGCAGCCTCCAGAGATACACCTGTCACCTGAAAGACACCCAAAGTTATTCCCCAGGAGACTGGAGAGGGATTGGGACATCCCCAGGTGATCCAGATTCCACAGCAAATTACACCACCAAGGACCTCAACGGAATGGGATGGACTACAGTACCCTTCCCCCTATCTAGGAACTAGAGTGCCTGTGAGGAGAATCCCAAAGGCTTAAAACAGGATAGAGGGATGGGGAGGGGAGTAGGAAAGGGAAAGGGGGGATGGCGAGGATGGGGTAGGGAAGGAGGATTGGGGGGTAATCAGGCTCAGTCTGAAGACCAAAAGGTCCAATTCCTCAGACCAATAGCCTCTTTACCACGATAAGGAGTCCCCCCCCTTGAATGGGTTGGGGGGGCTCCTTGGCACAGTGAAAAGGCTTTTGGTCTGAGGAATTGGCCCCTTTGGTCTTCCTCAAACCAAACCTAATTACCTCCCAATTCCCCCCTTCCCTACCTCATTCTCCCCATCCCTTCTTTCCCTTTCCTGTCCTTTCCCCATCCCTCCTCCCCCTTCCTTTCCAGCTTTTGGCCTTTGGGGTCTTCCTCTCTGAAATTCTAGCTCCTAGGTTGAGGAAAGGGTATTGATACCCATCTCATTTTGTTGAGGTTCTTGGCGGTGGTGTTTGCTGTATAATCTTTATCATCTGGGGATGTCCTGTTCCCCTCTGGAATTTTAGGGAGTGACTCAGGTCAGGGTGTCCCTCAGGTGATGGGTGTATCCCTGGAGGCTGCCTGTCAGCTCTGGGAGGTGGTGGCTGATAGAAGTATGCCTTGTGGCGGATTTCTGGCTGTCCACTTGTGTCCGCAAAGGTGGCTCAGCAGATATGAGGTTGCCGTCGTGGATTGCCGATTTACTGGCATTTAAGGTAGGGTATGGCACTGGTTCCATGTAGCATCTGCACTGCTGGCTGCACTGTGGGCCCTCTTGGAGGGGAATATACAATCTCTCATTCCTCATTATAAATAAATAAAGGGGAAACCATGACTTTGCCTCTTCATCCCAGGCCATTTCCTGCAGCACCCCTTACAGACCCTGGCACACCTTCGGACCTTTCTTCAGACATCTTTTTAAACCCAGTACTTTCTCTGGGTAACATTTCATTACCCTCTGGTACGGGTTGGCCATCACTAATTCAGCAATCGCTAATCTGGTTTCCTCAGTAATCCAGCACTAATTTCAGCTAGTGTAATTTCAAATTTCTCACACCAACCTGCCACTACTGTTTGGTGGTGCTACTTGCTGCACAAGTCATTCTAATTTCTTTTTCTTCATTTGTTAAAACCTGCTCACTTTTAGCCCTAGCCTTGACTCCAGTGAAGAAAGGAAATGCTTCTTGTTTTGCAAAGTGCAAACACAAGACATTGTCCATGAAAGATAAGGTTAAACTTCTGAGCCCTCTTTGAAGAGGTTATGTCTGAGGAACCCCTCTCTTTTACAGGCAGTCAATACTACTACAAGGAATGGAAAAGAGGGTAAGAGTGGGAGGTAGTACTGATAAAAAAAAGGCATCATTTATGGAGAAGCACTAAACCTGCAGGTCATACAATGCCTTGTAAGTTCAATCCATGGAAGGAGAGGACAGGTTCAATTCCTGAGATCAAGAGCCCCTCAGTGCCATCAAAGCTTTCATGAGAGACGACATATATATTCCTTAAAATGTCAGTGAAAATGCACTTTACTACATGGGGCATAATAAAGTTGCATGTCACATATACACCACCAGTTAAGCATATTTTAATACCCAAAATAAGGATTAAGTATACAATACAACATGTGCATATGCCCCTCAATCCCTCCCTCCCTCATCCCCCAATTTTCACATACAGGTGAACAATTTCATAGGTATGAGAGACAGGGAAGCCTGTTGATAAGCACTAAAATGTTTTTATAAACTAAACAAAAATAGTCAATTTAAAGACAACTTATTTACTTTCTCTCTCAAGACATACCATGCATCTTACTTTGGGGTTTGTGCTTATAAAAGTTTTGCTTAAAGGAAGACTTTCAAAAGACCCTTGTAAATTTGTTACAAATATGAGGATAATGTAATAATGTATTATCAATAGTTATCAAATATCAATTTATTTGTAATAATGGATACAAGTACTAAATTATTTACAGTTTTATTACAAACTTAAGGTACTAAGGTCACTCAGTCCCCTGTACTTTATAAACTGTATGTAGTTTCTTACCACAAAAAAAAATAAAAAGTATACTAAACAGCTCAAAAGAACTTACAATGCACATAAAATTACACAACACAGGAAATATCTAAGTATGGAAAGTTTTCTGTGTAATCTTAAATAAACTTAAACACCTGTATATGACCAGAAGTCAAATTTGTGCCATGACCTTCCTAGCAGCATCAAGGATTTTAAACAACGTAACCTTATTAATTATGCTATGGATATAAAACCACACAAATTCATAATAGGTTAGGTTACTATAATATGGCACTGATGGCAAGGCTATGGCAAGGGTTGATTTATGGTCATAGCTCCAAGTGCAGTGCCTGCACTCTGAAGGAGAGATGCAATTGTTACAATTAGAAGGTACATCCAATTTTGATGTCAGCACACTTCTGGAACATCAACATCACTTGTTCGCTGTTTTGCCAGAAGTGTGCCTACTTCACAGTTCAGGTCCCCTTCTGAACTGCAACACCCTCAACCCTCCTTCAGTGTATGTATATATATATGTATGTATGTTATATTACACAATTATATATACATCACATACATGCTCCACACAAATAACTGATGAAAATAATTATACAGTATATATGCACAATTTGAATCCCTTGTTGAAGCATACTGGTCATCATAATCAAGGCTCCATTTCCACAGCATTGTGTATCCAACTTCTTCCAGTAAATAAGGTTAATCAAACTTTGAATGTTACTTGGCTATACGCTTCACATTGCTATCGTACTCTTTGTCGTTGATATTTAGCATCAAAGTATCAGCACCCAGGTACACACGATTCTGTGCCTGAGAAATCTATTGGGACAAAAAAATATACAGATTAAAAATGATCTGATAAATATTTTAATGAATTTAAGTGAATAACAAGCTGTAATACCTATACTACACAATAATTTATGTTATTAACCAGATATAATATTTGAATTTCAAAGTGAGGTATGGCCTTTGAAATACCGAAGCATAGACAAGAACCGAGGCAGTAAAATACATCCGAGATCAATGTGCTGCAATTATTAAGATTTCTAAACAAGGAAATAAGTGTGTATGGCTGTATGAAACCTAGGTAGTAGGTGGGTAGACAGCAAGCGCCCAGGAGGTACTACCATCCTGTCAAGCGAGTTTAAAATGGAAGCCTGTACTTGTTTTACATAATGGTAGGATTGCTGGAGTCTTTTCTGTCTCATGAACATGCAAGATTTCAGGTATATCTTGCTACTTCTACTTGCACATAGGTCACATTACACAAACATGTACAACCATATATATACACAACCCTCAGGTTTTTCTTCCATTTTCTTACTATTTCTTGTTCTTGTTTATTTCCTCTTATCTCCATGGGTAAGTGGAACAGAATTCTTCCTCCATAAGCCATGCGTGTAGTAAGAGGCCACTAAAATACCGGGAGTTAGGGGCTAGTAACCTCTTCTCCTGTATAAATTACTAAATTTAAAAAGAGAAACTTTCGGTTTTCTTCTTGGGCCACCCTGCCTTGGTGGGATACGGCTGGTTTGTTGAAAGAAAGGCAGTAGCTGTATGAAAGGTATGATACAACAAGCAGAAAAGGAGGTTCTTCATATGGTTTGGTCAAGAAGAGCTAGAGTGCGATTATGATATATAAAGGCTTAAACATTCAGCAAGCACAGGAATATGTCTTCATTCTGAGTGGAGGAAAAGCAGTATTTGAAATTTAACATAATATTTAATCCATTTTTAAAAGTGGGAAGAACAATACCGGTACTCAAAAGGTGGATGGTGATGTAACAGTTCAGAGTAATTACTAGATCATAGATGTCTGTACCCTTCCCGAATGACAGCCAGGAATTTAGTTATCTTTTTAAGACTCGTCCCACCATGGTAAGAAACAATCAGAAACATGGCTTCACCAATATGCAAATTTATTTATTTATTCATGCATTAATAGAAGTTCAATATAACATATACTGCAAAGAAGAGATGGATCAATAATGAGTCAAGCATCAACTATTGACAGGGAGGAATAAAGTAGAAATTACATCTGATAGAGAAGACAAAAAAATTAAATGAACAACCAGAAATAAAATGGGCAAAAAGATGCAGAATAACGCATCAAAAATAGGCATGATAACAAGGGCAATACAGAGTACACAAAAATGTACACAGCTGACAAGAGGTACTAAAACAATTGCTGCAATGTAGACTATGGACTCCGACTATGATTTGGCTATGAATCAGTGCTGTGATCTATAACAGCCACATAATCAAATTGCAAAAAAACTACTTCTGGCAGTGAATACAGCCAAACCCAAGCAATGGCTTCACAGAAGAAAACGGTTTTCCCAATGACTTGAGTCCTGGAAATGAGAAGTACAATGCCTGCACTTTAACCCTTTGACTGTTTCAGGCCCCTCTCTGAAACTATCATTCTATGTCGCCAAATATTCGAAAAAAAAAAATTATTTTTCTTATGAAAATTTTAGGAATATTTTTGCGAGTGTTTTAAGCCTAAAAAAAATTTTTGCCATCAGTACTTACCGAGATATAGAGCCGCAAAGTTTGCAGAAAGTGATGTGCGTACGGCAACAGCGGCGACTGCCACCCACCCGGTATTCTTTTATTTACTCTAATTCAAAGGTTTCTTGCATTTTTCAATATTTTTCTGTTCCAGGTAACTTATGTGGCCTGTGAGACCAATGTAAGGTGCATTCTTCAAATATACACTCATTGTTTACAACACAATAACAGAACAAACTTTATCACTATTAGTTTGTGTATACACTTTGTTTACACAAACAAACAATACAAAACAATGTTTATTACTATTGTTCCATAATATATATACATATGTACAGTCACTAAACACGTTCCTAGAACTGCTGCAGCTTGTGGAACTCTTTGAAACATGGGTATATGCAGAGGGGCACTTCACACTCCTCACACATAAAATGAGTGTCTCTGCATGTTTGTGGGCATTTTGTGGTATGCATACATACATAACACCTCTTCTGAGCATTTTTCTTGGTAGTAGTAGGAGGCAGTTGTATGGGGTAGTGATCACCAGGCCTCATACGAGATGACGTCTGTGGGCGCTGGTCTATTGCAGGAGTTGCTCCTTGGTACTTTGCAATTATTTGTCTGATTACTGAGAGGCAAAATTCACCATATTTTGGTGTTTTGTTGGTCTTCAACTTGTATATGTTATAAACATTTAGCATAGAGATATCAACAAGATGGAAAAAAGTTTTATATACCACTTATAACTCTTGCGTACACAGTCTGCAAACCCAATCTGCATGTCACATTTGTCCACTAAGCGCATATTGAGGTTGTAGTCCATGACAGCTGCAGGCTTTAGAATGGGTTCATTGGTCTCTCTCTTGTCCCTGCCACTGGGTACCATTTCGTTTCTGTGAACTGATGTCAACAACGTGACATCACATTTGTCATGCCACCGAAATGCCATGATGTCATTGGCAGCAAAGTCTTGCACCTCACCTCTGCGAGTGCCAGCGTCGAACCTTGTCATATGTTTACGATTACCACGCACTGTGCCACACACGTCTGTCAAGTTCACTCGCAATAAATCACTGAGTATGGGGTTTGTGTACCAGTTATCAGTAAATAACATATGCCTTTTACCAAGATATGGTTCCATCATTGTTCGAACCACATCACCAGAGATACCCAATAACTTCATGGTATCTCTCAAAGTATTACTGCCAGTGTACACAATGATATCCAAAACTAGACCACTTCTGCAATCACACAGTACAAATAGCTTTATACCAAAGCGTTTCCTCTAGCTTGGTATATATTGCTTGAATGAGAGTCTTCCTTTGAATAAAATCAAGGACTCATCAATAACAAGCTTCCTGAAGGGATAAAAATACATGCAGCACTTTTGTTTCAGGTACATAAACACATTTCTGATCTTATATAACCTGTCGCTTCTGTCAGGCCTGGTTTTGTCTGAAAAGTGTAACATACGTAACAGTATCAGGAAATGATTGACACCTATAATGTCACTAAAACCTGGAGTTGAAATCAGGCGTTCTGTTGCCCAGTATGTGGTGACAGTGTGCTTATACACATGTGGCATAAGCATTATTGTGGCAAAAAACAGGTACATCTCTGCCACAGTTGTCTCCTTCCTTGTGTAGCTGTGATTTTGGTGAGAGAATTGTATTTGCCATGGTGTAATCACAGTATGTGTTTGTTTCCCTGACAATGATGTCCATCAGGGGTTCATCGAAGAATAACTCAAAGCAGTCCAGTTCACTGGCATTGTTCCCAAGTGGACAAGATGGCTTTATTCCACTTTGTGTTTCATCAAAGTCATGGGGACTGGGAACAAACTCGTCACTGTCCTGCCAATCCCAGATGCGGTCTGCTGGTGGGGTCTGGATATTGTACCGTGGTTGTGGTTGTGCAGGTTGTGGTTGTGCAGGTTGTGGTTGTGCAGGTTGTGGTGGTGCAGGTTGTGGGAGTGTGGGGTAGGGTGAGGCTGGTTGTTGTGCAGTCAGCAGCGTGGGTAGTAGCGTGGCCCGCTGATGGTGCCACATGGGCCGTGCCACCCTCACTATCACCACCACTGCCTGCTCCATCACTCACATCATTCATACCCACCGTTACAATATCGTCATCTTCACTATCAGGTTGTGGTGTAGGGCCACGGGATCTGCTCCCAGAGTTTCTCCTTCCCCTTGGAACAACATATGAAACACTACCAGACCGCATGCTACGTCATACATACTGCCGCTTCACTGGGGAATATTCACTCTCACTGTCACTAGAACTGCTTTCAATGACCTTGAAATCACTATCACTGCTAACATCTGGGTGTTGTACATGACCAAATAGTTTCCTCTTTCGTCCTGGTACAGGCGAACGTGAACGTGAACAAGCCGGCCCAGCACCAGAGGTGGAAGGTTGTGGGTCATCTGGGTTTTCATCACTAATTACGTTATCCTGGGCACTTTTTCCGGTAACACTCACTTCAAAACCCTGGAATTCACTGTCACTGACATTTTCATCGCTGTAAAAGCTATCACTTGGGAACAAAAGACCTCCAATCCGCCGAGGAGTGAGGAACTTCTTACCGAGGGGGCATGGTGGAAAATGGACTAACAACATGGCGTTCCTACAATGCACCGCTGGGTCCCAGATTTTTTCACAGGGTGCACACCGACCACTGAGACCCATTCTCTCTCATATAGGCCTACCAGGCCTTTCCCGCTTGATTTGAAGCCGCTAGAATTTGTGCGTATAAATACGTCAGAAACATTGGCTCGTAAGACGTATTTATACGTCGGAAACAGTCAAAGGGTTAAAGGAGGGGTTTGGGATATTGGCAGTTTGGAGGGATGTGTTGTGTATATTTATACGTATATGCTTCTAAACTGTTGTATTCTGGGCACCTCTGCAAAAACAGTGATAATGTGTGAGTGTGGTGAAAGTGTTGAGTGATGATGAAAGCATTTTCTTTTTGGGTATTTTCTTTCTTTTCTGGGTCACCCTGCCTTGGTGGGAGACGGCTGACTTGTTGAAGAAAAAAAAAAAGACAAAAGAAACTATAGTGGGTAGTATAATTATAAATAAGGAAATAAAGAATGTTAAGGACTAATTTCACATTTTGCAATATGTATAACGTATGGGAAAAATAAGTTTTGGTTCATGGCAACTATGTAAGATTATTATTTATTATAATCATGGGGGGTGCTAAACCCATAGGATTATATAGTGTCTGTAGGGGGGTGGGGGGTGGAAGACATTCAGGCTCAATTCAGGGAACTTGATCACAGATCCAATTCCCTAGATCAAGAGCCCCTCACCAGTATCAAGGAACCTTCCTTGAGGGGCAACTATGTAAGAAAGTGACATTTTAAATAACAAAAATGTTCACAAAATGATAGAGTAATATTTAAAGATGTAAATAAGCAGAATTACTGAGCACTGTACTTAACATTTGCTAAAAGCAAATTAACAAATAACACCTTGATATACAGGAACATTATAGAAACATTCACCAATGATCCCTGAAAGTCAGCAATCCTTCCCTTGCAAAGAGCAACATCTGCTCCAAGCACATATTCATTGCAAACCATCAAAATCCAAATTATGACAGCTATGCATAAAATTATAATCATTTGTATCAACAGAGGCAATATGAAACCATTCACTAAAAAAGGCACATTTTAAGTACTTTAAGGCTTGCCTGCAGTTTTAACCTTGCATACATAACACATCCTTTCCTCATACTCATATTTATGAAGTACTGAACCACAAGTAAATAAACTGTCTTGGAAAAAAACCCAGACAGTGTTGCCCCAGTTTGGGTGGGTGTCTGAGGTTACCATTAACAGGTAGGTTACAACTATTACACTGTACAGAGTGAAATTCAACACCAAAGTGCATCAGAAATGAAAAACTTTTCATTTAATAATATTGTAGATAATGAGCTTTGACGTTGAGCTCAGATGCAACAAAGATCAGCCAGAAGACCGGTCAAGGAGTAAGGACTCAAGGAACAGAGGCTTCAGACCTTATGCAAAAGAAAGATCTAGGGGTGAGCACAGTGCCAAGCATATCCAATAACCTTTACAGTCAATACTCTCCTATCAAATCAAAGAGTGGCCTTCAGGATTCTCAACAGTCATTTGTGGCTCTTTATAAAGACCTAGGAATATGCAGCACCAGCATTAAACTGCCACCTGAGAAAACATGTTAAGAAACAGGAGATAGTGCAGAAATATGCGAGAGGCCAGTTCTAAAACTATTGTGTAGAAGCGATGAAGAGAGAGTATTGGAACCGAACCTAACACTGGAGGAGAGAACCTGGGGAGACACAACAGCATACAAAACACTCAAGAGGAATTAGTAGGGTATACAGAGAAAGGCTACTCAAGAGGCAAGAAAAAGGTAATCAGAAGCACAGCTGGAAGCTAAAAACAGATGAGTTGCAGGGATGCCAGGATGCATTTCTTCAGGCTCAGGATGGTCAAGGAAGGAAATGACATTTAAGAGGAAGTGGTGGAAGTGGGCTCTATACATGGCTTTAAAAGAGTAGGTATGAAAGAGCCCACAAAGCTAGGAAGGAGGGATTTTAGCAAACTGAGAGGTGGAGCCAGGAGCTAAGACTTGACCTCAGCAACTCCATATAGGTAAGAGGTTAGGTTAGGTAAGGTTCGTCAGGAAACAGGACAAATGTTTCCTGACGCGGGTCTTAGTCAGATGATGACCCGCCTTTGGAGCTTTTGGTCATCTGACCGAGGCCTTCCGCTGGCTTACCGGTCCACCCCTTTAAAAATTATGGTCATTTATAACCAGTCTGTCTATATAGGTAAGAACAAGAAAATCATGCAAACATTTGAAGAAATTTTTTACACTGAATTTAAAAGCTACAAGTACCCTAAATCTCCTCCATGGGTAAGTAGAACAGAATTCTTCCTCCATAAGCCATGTGTGTCATAAGAGGCAACTAAAATACAAGGAGCAAGGGGCTAGTAACCCTCTCCTGTATAAATTGCTACATATAAATACTGACGTATACAGTGGAACCACGGAACTCAAACTTAATTCGTTCCAGAAGGCTGTTTAACAGAGTACTGATCTGTCTGAGAACTGAACAAATTTTTCCCGCCCAATTTTCTTTTTGGTTGACTGTTACCATTAATCTTCATAGGCCCCATGGTGACTTATACAAATATAAAAAACACTAAAAAATGCAAAGAAGCACTAAATAGTTTACAGCGAATATCTGGCAGGTTGTGTTTGTTTGGTCGAGCGTCGAGCAAACTGTCAACTACCAAGCGATTTTTTTTACCAAACAATGTGTTCAAATACTGAATTGTTCAAGTAGGGAGCTGTTCAAGTACTGAGGTTCCACTGTATATATAATGTATACTACAGCTGCATGATCTACTTCTATGGGAAATGCTGATATACTTTAATACAGTATTAAACCATATCTTAAGAAATCACATTTTATGCTCAATAAATCTGTAAAAATTACAAATACTATCAGACTAGTTGGTTTTTCTAGAAAACAAATCTACAGGAGAAAACTATGGCACAGGTATCTGTATGTACTAGGATCTTGGCCCCAATATACAAGACTATATAAAGTTTTCCTGTAGCTGAAGTTAAAAATGGAACAGTTTAAATCAATAATTTGTCTAATACTGTAAAAAAAAAAAAAAAAATCCACGAAACTTACTGTCCTGCCAATGTTTACAGCAGCTTTAATCTTGCGCAACTTCAGGTAGCCAGGATTCATGCTAATAGCTGTTCCCAAGTACAAAGAAGTTAAGGAAAATCTGAAAAATAATTAATACTGGTTTTGACAATGTATCACACCAACTCTCTCATTATTCACCATCATTCATTCAATCACTGAAACATCCTGACAAAGGAACTATGCATGCTCTTGGCCAATCCCTAGGTATGTATCTTCTTCACTCCCCCTTTCATGTATATATTGAATGGATGCACCAACCACTCCAAAGCTATATCTCCACCTGCTTTTAACATTACTCTCCTAATTCAATCTACCCAGCTGATTTACTCCCTTACATTCTACTCGCTGTCTCGTGCACCTCCCCCAAACTCACATTTTGCTCTTCCTCATTCCTAAAAGATGTTACATCTACCTACCCAATACAAGAAATAACACTGCCTCCATCTTCTCATCAACATTCAACAACTCTTTCAAGTGGTGGGAGGAACACAGAAATCAAATTAATCAAATGATTGGAGAGGGTGTGTGACATCTGCCAGTATAAAGGAAACAGGAAAAATATGGATACAGTTAAAGATAAAGGTCTTCAGAGTTTTATGCTTTTCCCCTCAAAGTGTAGCATCATATTAAATACTGGACAGAAAATCTACTTCTATTAGTCTTTGGATATTAATGCCATGAAAATATAAAAAAATAACAAATACAGAGGTACCTCGATATTTGAACTTAATCCGTTCCAGGAGTCTGTTTGAATAGTTGTACGTACATTGAATCAATTTTTCCCATAAGAAATAATGTAAACTGGATTAATCCATTCCAGACCCAAAAAAATTACCAAATATAAAACATTTAAAGTGAAAATATTGCTTATTTAAACCTGTATAATAATACTACTAATAATAATAAACAATTATGTATAATAATAAACCTGTATAAAATCATACACAAAAACTATAAAAACAAATACATGAAATAAGTGAAAATTTAACTGCACTTGACCTTTACTGAGGAGTGCTGATGGCCTAAGAGGAAGGTGGAGATGTTATTGTTTGAAAAGGGTATCAACTTCCATAAAAACATCAGGTAACTCACCATCTGGTGTTTTTTATTTGTCTGTGCAGTAGTACTTGAAGATGATGAGGATTCACTAGCATTTGATTTTTCCTTTGCTAAAGAAGCTGTCCAATGTTGTCTACTTTTGACGACTTTCCAAAGTTTTTCTCAAGTGGTCGACAACATTGTCATTGAACAGGTTGATGCTCCTATTTACAACAGTTATGTTAAGATGCCATTTTTCCACTGGGCTCTGTATTTGAGCCCAATGCTAACACAGTTCTTTAATATCTGCAGTGGAAATGTTGCCTTCACTACTTCCCTCCTCTGAAGACAAAATTTCCTCAACCACTTCTTGCAGCTCCTTGTGCAGGTTTTTGAAGTTCTTCTATGGTGAGCTCATTCTTGTCATGCTCCACCAACTCCTCTACATTCTCATTGTCCATTTCCAAACTCATGGACTGGCCCAGAGAAACAATATCCTTCACTTCAGGCTCTGCCTCAAGCCTTCAAAATCTCTGACAAACAGTCTGGCCAAAATTTCTTCCATGCAGTGTTCATTATCTTGAAAAACTTTCCCCTAGGCTTTGTCTATTATCCTTAAACACTGAAGGATATTAAAAATGGTTGTTCCAAAATTCCCTAAGGGTAAGCTCTGTTTCAGAAGTCACTTCAAGAACATATGAAAGGAACGAACGCTGCAGCAGGCCTACTGATCCATGCGGAGCAGGTTCATGCCCCCCCCCCCCCCCCCCCCGATTAGCCCAATGACCCACCCAGTCTGGTCACCTCCACTCAAGGATGGAGCACATCACCAGACCCAGCAGCACAAGCTAGTCAGGTCCAACTCACACCCACTCATGTATTTATCCAACCTCTTTTTAAAACTACAAAATGTTTTAGACTCAATAACTGTACTTGGGAGTTTGTTCCACTCATCCACAACTCTATTACCAAACCAGTGCTTTCCTATATCCTTCCTGAATCTGAATTTTTCCAACTTGAAACCATTGCTGCGAGTCCTGTCTTGGCTGGAAATTTTCAGCATGCTATTTACATTTCCTTTATTTAATCCTGTTTTCCATTTATACACCTCGATCATATCCCCCCTAATTCTACGCCTTTCAAGAGTGCAGATTCAGGGCCCTCAGTCCATCCTCATAGGGAAGATTTCTGATACATGGGATCATCTTTGTCATCCTCCTCTATGTTTTCCAGAGCATTTATATCCATTCTGTAATACGGTGACCAGAACTGAGCAGCATAGTCTAAATGAGGCCTAACCAAGGATATATAGAGTTGAAGAACAACCTGAGGACTTCTATTATTTATACTTCTAGATACGAAGCCAAGAATTCTGTTAGCTTTATTGCAAACACTAATGCACTGTTGTCTTGGTTTTAGATTACTGCTAACCAGAACTCCTAAATCCTTTTCGCAATCAGTAGTATTAAGATCTACATTATTTAGTTTTGTGCAAAGTTTCTTACAATTGGAAATTACCTGCTGCCTGCTGGTCCACAAGTCAAATAGTAATAGTGTAAGGGATGGGGGGCAAGAATTTTACTTTAATGAAGCTGTAGTCATCTACCAAATTTTCCTGAAAGCCTGGAGGGTGAGCAGGAGCATTGTGCATTACCAGAAGTGCTCTTAATGGTAAGTTTTTTCCACAAGGTACTGCTTCACACTTGGGGCAAATATTTCATGTATCAACTCAGTGAAGAACTGTCATGTTACCTAAGCTTTACTATTAGCCCTCCACATAAGAACGAGTTTACTTTTTATCACATTTTCTTAAACACCCTTAGATTTTCTGAGTGGTAGACTAGCAATGGTTTAATTTTGCAGTCCCCACTAGCATTACCACACAAGAGTGTTAGCCAGTCTTTCATGGGGCTGTGTCCTGGTAATGATTTTTATCATTGTGTGATGTAGGTTCTACTTGGCATTCTTTTCCAAAAGAGGCCAGTTTCATCAGAATTAAAAACTTGAGGAATAAATCCCTCAATATCTACATAGGTTTTAAATTCCTTAAACTTTGTCAGCTTCATCTCTGTTAGCATTGGCAGCCCCCCATGCCTTACTACACTATGAACCCCACTCCTTTTTAAACCTATCAAACCAACTTCTATTTGCCTTAAATTCATCACTTTCAGCACTGTTTCCTGGGGTATCTTGCCTAAGATAACTATATAACTGCTTTGCTTTTTTCACAAATTATTGTTTCAGATACACTCACAAGCCAATTGTTTTTTGTTAATCAGCACTAACAAAAGTGTTCCTATTTCTTTGATTATCGGTGACCTTGTCACAGCAAGAATTTTTACTCCTTTCGCCACATCAGCCCATTTTTCAATATGGGCAACGTGGTGGATTTCACCATATCGAGTGGCCAGGTCTGACACACATGTTCCACTCTCCACTTCGCAATAAGTTCTTTTTCACTTTGTTATTCTCGCGGCTTTCCTTTTAAGATTGTTTAGATCACTACTCATTTTTGGGGCCATGATTACAAATTTTCAATAAAAATATTTAAACACAAAATAACCATGAAATACCAAAGAGTTTCGCATAGCTTGTACGAATGATGCTTAATGAACTAAAGTTGACGAGAGACTGAGCACGTGATGCTTCGTTTTCGTTGTACTTCGTCCAGATGGACCATTTTGTTTAGGTTGAATATCAGGGCAACATCCAAATACAGAGTTAAATTTTTCTCAAAAAAGTTGGGCAAATGTAGTGTACAAATATAGAGACGTACAAATACTGAAGCTCCATTGTATTCAATGATATCCATTGTATTCAGGCTATGCATTGTTTCATAATACCTTACACACTTGATAGCATCATCCACAACTACAGTTTCAACACAAAACATTTCACTCACAAGGTTTAGTGTATGCATGGGTTTAGAGACAGGAAAATTTTTTTTTTTTATGAAAAATGTCTCTTCTCTCTAGAGCTATCTTTTAAACCCCTTGTTGCCTATGCTATATTCCAACAATGCTGGGTAAACTTCATCAAATCATTCATATCCTCCTACTGAACTGCTTCCAATCAGTACTGTCTTACATTATCTTACACATTTGCAATATCTGCTCAGTTTTATAAGTTTCCTTAATTTGTTCCCACCTTTTCTACTAAGGCAAACTAAAGCACCCAGATCCAAGGCAATTTTTGCAATTAGTATAAGGACAGACTGAGTGGACCCCAGCCTAATTGTCTCACCTTTATACCATATGATGCAAAGCAGTTTCCACCAATGAATAAGAAGTATGGGAAGTTACATACCTAATGTATATGAATAAATATAACATGAAGTGGTTAGACAAAATTCCCTTAAACAACTACTAGCATAGGGTTAGCTATAAAAGGATATCATTTTAGCAGCCTCAGCTTCACCTTCAGCTTGGACAATTTTCTGTTGCCTCTCCTGCCTGGCACGCTCCACAACAAAGGAAGCTCTCTGTGCTTCTTGCTGTGCTACCTGAAGATGTAATGAGAAACCAAATGAATAAAAGTAAAACCAGTTTAAATCTTAAGAAAAATGCTGTACACTACAATTAAATGATACCTAAAATTTCATGATCACAAAGTTTAGAAATTTTTGTGTAGTCAGAGCAATGCAATTTTTTTTTTTAACCACACCAGCCATCTATCACCAAGATAGGTCACTCAAAAAATAGAACATACTTCATTCATTCAATAGTGGCTAGAAGTGTGCATCTGATGCTGACTGTATGCAACCTCAAATGAAGCCTTAAACTGCAATATCCTCTTCTATTTAGTGCTGGTACTGTATTTCCCATCTCTAGGACATGGATAAGTATTCGTATGTACTTGGGCAGCACTGATACATGCATTTCTACAGAATACAGAAATTCAACATTCCACTGAAATAAGACCTTGACAAGGTGACTTTAATAAGCTAAAGAGACTTCAATAAGCTAAAGCAAGATTCATGAATCAAGTGAGAAACTGTTTATAACTTTGAAAGCAGGTTAAGTTAGTCAAGAAACTGGCTAAGAGCACTGCATGAAACAAAAGAAGCTGACCACTTCAGAAATGACTGGTTACACTAACATTTAAGCTTCAGGATTACGTAGTATACATCATACAACCTAAAATATGAAATTTGCACATTTCTGACTACATGCAACTTCAAAAGAAATAAACAATGACAGTGGTTGATCACACACAAAAACGGTACCATATACGGAAGACAATGATGACACTTTCACAAAATACTCATGTACAGGTATGAAAGAATGCAGAGAACTCATGAAAGGTTCAAAACATAGGTAAAGTATAAATAAAGCATAATTGAGAGAATGTTAGATAGGAGTGAATCAAGCCAAAAGCTTCTTAATGAACCTGCTACTGGAGTGTGAGCAAGATATTTATGAAGGGATTCAGGGGAAAACTGGTTAGCCAGAGTTAAGTCCTGGAGGTAGGAAGGGCAGTGTCTTCAATCTGAAGGGTGGGTGAGAATGCTATATTCCGAGGGTAATCTAAACTATGATGTCAGCACACTTCTGGCAAAACAATTGAATCAATGATGGTGAATTTATATATTTTCTTTGGGCCACACTGCCTTGGCAAACAATAACCAATGAGGTGTATAAAAAAAAAAAAAAAGCAGACCAGGATGGGAAGGGGAATATGCAATACTTGCAGTGACAGCTGGAACAGACACAGAGATTGCTTATGACCCACATATAGCCAGCAAAGTATTTAACTTACTGGAATACCTGAAAGTCTTAAATATGCACTCACTGGAACAGAGGAGAGGGAGATACATGATAATATATAGCTAGAAAGTACTCAAGGGCCTTATCCCAATCTGCACACTGTCATAACATACTGGAGCGAGAGATGGAAGGAAGTGCAAAATAAACCCAGTGAAAAGCAAGGGTGCGGTAGGCACAATACGGGAACACTATCAATATCTGGGGCCCCAGATTATTCAACATCCAACCAGAAGATATCAGAAACACCACCAGAACAACTGTAGAAGTCTTCAAGAAGCTGGACAAGTATTCACCAGGTGCCAGATCAAAAAGGCTGTGATGTGTGGAGCAACGGGCCTCCAGCAGCAACAGCCTAATTGACCATGCTAGCACCAGATGAGCCTGGCCCACAGCCGGGCTCCAGGAATAGACTCAAAACTCAAAAGGTATATCAAAGGTAAAGGTACAGAAAAAGGATGGGTTTTGAGTGAAACCAATCCATTACTAATACCAAATAAACTTAAATCAATTTACTTATGAGAATACACAAAAAACCTAGCAACTAGAAAGATGAAATTAAGACATACAGGGTACCTGAAAGGCCAAGACCAAAGATACAATTTATGTGCATAACATTATTCCTAATACCTACTTTCACCACAAAGAAACAAGCACAATGAGAGTAAAAGATGACAAATATATGATTAAATTCAAGGGAAAGAGTCAAACTTGCATGAGATTATATATATTTTTATATATATAGCCGGATTCGAGTCCTGGAAAAGGAAACTACAATTCCTGCACTTTAAAGGAGGGGTTTGGGATATTGGCAGTTTGGAGGGATATGTTGTGCATCTTTATACGTA